ATGAAGACATTTTTGGGACAAAATAAATGCAATTTTGCCTATGTTATTTGTTAAAACATATATATTACAATATACGTATTACAAATATTATAAATCAGTATACGTGTTCCTCGATACGCAAGAAAGTTTATAGTATGTATACTATAGTATGTTATTAAAATTATAAACTAAACTCGCAAGCGAAACCGATATTTACGATTATGTAGATCGTTACGTGAAATACAACATTAATTCAGATTAAAGATAAAAAGGTTTTGTATTAATATCCTACCAAACATAATAAACACTAGATTAGTTCGAATAATCAATGTGCTTTTGTCGGCAGTTGCCCATTATCGATAAACCAACAATCGCAATGTATCAATTAATTTATTAAGCAATTTATGATTAATAAAATTGCCTACGCCTATTTCTTCTCTTTTACATTTTAATATATTAGTCGTAAAGTCGAACCAAAAACCAATTTATAATGGTTATCTCTTTCTCCATCCACAGGTTGCCTGGGAGAAATCACTTTAAGCGATAAGGCTGCCGATTGTTATGCAAATTTTTAAGTTTACTTTATGTTTGTATAAGTTGAACGGTTTTCAAAAAGTTTCATTATGGCAAAACTAATTGCGTAAACAGATGTGATGCCAAAACTAACTAATAATCACAATACTTGTAATCAAATTCGCATTCACAACGCTATACTGGAGAATATTTTTATTGAAAAATAATTGTTTTAAGCATTTTTTTTATAAAAACACTAACTCATATTTTTAAAAGGGCCAAAACCGTGTCATCTGCCCTAGTGTATATAATGTATCTACACAATAAAATGATATCCTTGGCGTTTAATTAATAGTGATATACAATGACAAAATACATTCGAATCGGTCTTATGTTTCAACCCTGATCGAGTAAACAAATAGACTGCGACCCGTCAATATTAAGTTTCCAAGTGTATCGGAATATAAAAAATATATTTAAACAAATATTCCGTTTCGGTGGAGTTGCGTAACGAACTGGAACCTGACCTTGAGCTCATAAATGCGGTACAAAACTACAAAAAAAGTGAGACATCGTTATTCGCACATATAGCACACGTAATGCTTCGTTCATTGCAATATCTGATTGCAATACAAGCTTAAACGTTATTAGGTTTTAGAGGAAATCATATAATATTATTATAATTAACTGAGAAATGAACATTAAAAGTCTAGATTAGACTAAGATAGACGCAATTCCGGACGTCATAATCTAGACATCTACGGCGCCGCCCGCCGCGCCGTACGCAATTGACTTCAATGACTAAGAAGGCAAATAACATATTTACTTCAAAAAATGGTTTTATTTCGGAATGGAATCGTATTAAAGATAACATGATAAGATCCCAGCTGTTCTAAGGCTCTGGTTACCGTTACATGAGGGCCAAAGAAACGAGACACACCAATCGTGAGTCGGACTATAAAAAAACTGCACTAATCGTAAAACTGCATCAGTGTTTAAGTGGCAATATAACGATTTAAAAACGCTTCATAAATTCCAAGCTGGAAGTACTATACCTTTTAGAATACATAACGTGTCAATGTAATAGACTACTGTTTTATCATCTAGGTTCTCTTATTTCTTTTTCCTGTTAAACTCTCCTCTAACTTTTCAACATCTTGGTTCTCTTAATTCTTTTTCTCGTCAAACTCTCCTCTAGCTTTTAAAGTATAGGTGTAACATGTCTGCCTACCCCCCTAGGGATACGGCATGAAGATATAAATAGACAGGTACTCGGAACATCGGTAGGTACATGCTATACGAAAATTATCGAAAGGTACCTATTTAGCTCATCCCTTGCTCTTTTTAGGTATACTTGTAATTAACGATCATTTACATAAAAAATAACATTTTATTTGCAGGTCAACGGTATTTGCAGGTCGAGCATAGCTCAGTGCAAAAACCACTGGCAATTCTTAAATGTAACATTGTAAATGATGAATAAATATTTTTTAATTTCATTTCATTTTCATTTCACCACGACTAATAAAGGAGCGAAAATGATGATGTGAAATTTGCGATCCATTATTGGATGAATACGACTTACATAATAATTTGAACGAACAGCCAATCTGCGTAACAACGCGGATACAGTGTTGCCAAAAATGTCACTTTCGGTGCTAGACCTGGCACTATTTTCATAAGGTTAGCACAGAACTTGACTTGACTTTTAGCACCTAGCACCAAATCTAGCAATATTTAGTATTTTTGATATTTTTTCTGCTCACAGCTAGATTTTATAGGTAAGGTCTTAGAAAATGTTATAGGGAGAGAAAATGAACAACGGCTCTACGTTAAAAAATAAATAAAAAATCTGGATATTTTAAACTTTTATTGTCCCACACACGATCCTACATGGTTCCAGAAGATTCTGACAATGACGGAGAATGGCTCTATTTATGTTATATTTTTATAATTAAAAAATTGTAAGTTGTGTTTTTTCTATATTTTTTCTGCTTAAGTGAAAAAAAATATATGTTTAGCACTATTTTTGGATATTTGGATATCCCTAGCAATCTAGTACTTTTTGAGATGTCATCTAGCACTTACCTTATGTATCGAGTTGGCAACACTGCGTGGATATATCGAATCAGTGTAACAGGGTTATAGTTTTTAGAGAATTCTATTATTTACTTAATGCGATCTTGCCCAATAGAGCAGTTTCTTAACATTACGCATACTTTTAATCTATATAAGAATATTTTGACGTTGATTATTATTAGCAGTCGTGTAATCTAATAGGTATTTCTAATTCCGCGTAACAAAATATGTGGAAGTAGGTATACAACTACACTTAGACATGTATCGTTTTAATAATTGGATTGGCATTGATTGGCGATTAAAGAGTCTAATTAAAACTGATTACTGAAGATTATCTCGAACGGTATATTCATGTGATCGATTAATCGTTGTCTATTTCGTCGTATTCGCGGTTTTATATGAATTTTAAAATAGAAAGATTACCATATGCTCATTGTCCAAAAAAAAATTAACAACATTCACTCTCTTATTCTAATGAAAGGGCGAAAAGTAGCTGAAAGGGTGAAAAGGACCCACTTTATACCCGTGGATATAAATATTGTAGTTTTACAACATTTATTTACATGTCACGGCGTATTGTTACGTCAACATTATTTCAAAATTAAAAATCTTTATTTATCTTAACTGACACACCTCAATATATGTGCAATGTGTCTTCTTTCTTTCATATATTACTATTATATTAGTGAAACATATACTTGGCTAGGACCATAGAGTAGAATAGGTCCCTTCTTTTCTAATAATATTATTCATACTTTTTTGTTTATCCTTATAAGGCTGAGTGTAAATAAAATAAACCAGTCCTTGAGCCCTGAGATGGGATGGGATGGCACTTGATAAATTCCTTAAATATTTTTCTATGATATGTGAAATATATACGAGATTAGAGCCATGGAGTAGCGTAGGATGTTTTTTACTAATAATATTACTTATACATATTTGTCTATAAGCTAAATGTCAATAAAACATATCTGATTCAAAATTAATCAATTACGTTTCCCTACTCATTTCGCTAGTTTCGATCTCTGTTTGTTACGCGATCGGACTACTATAATACTTCTGTTAGTCTCACATTAGCGCAAGTCGATTGATTGTGATACTTCACAGAATATACTCGACCGTAATCGAACCGTGTAATTAAATCATCTCAAAACCGGTACCTGTATTTTGGACTTATTATGCGATATTCAGTTTCGGTAGCTGAGCATGCTCTGGGCGGTGCCCCCAATATAAAGGTGTGTTCAGACAAATCTACAAATGCGATGAATTTAATCTACAAGCTAAATCCAATGAATTATATGGTAACATATACTTTATATTAAATTTTATTGGTGTATTGGTGACTGGTTGATGACATCGGATTTGTAACGAAAACATTATGGAATTTGTTATCTTTGAAAATACTAAAAAACAACCATCTCACTATTCATAGAAAGTTTATCAAAATGATAAGTCGCCATCTATCAAGTTATTATGTAACTATTAGCTTCAATCAATTTTTCAAAGTCGGTATCCCTCTATTGGAGGGCAGCACTCTAAATAAAATACGCGTAGTATCCATCTAGAATTTTTTGCAACAACTTTTTTGGTTGGTTAATCCAGACGCTTTTTTAAACGGAACTTAAAAAAACGAGTACGCTTTTCGTTGTCGGAGTAGACGCGCGTTGTATTGAAAGTTAATTCATTACGTAAATTTAAAGTTAAACTTTATTATATTGATTCCAAACAGACCTAAGTCTGTGATTAAGTACGAAGGAAAATTCATGGATTAAAATAAAATTATTAGCAAAATTATTAACAAAAAGGAGTTTCTATTTCTGCGGTTATTTTTCTATGTAAATAAACCTTTAGAAGGCAGAAGCAATTACGGCACACGCCATAATTGTGGGTCCATATAGTCCGCGCCTGTGCATGATCACTGATAAAACTTAATACGAGGACGTTCAACTCTCGTCTAATAATAAATACTACACTTGAATTAAATGAAACCGGTATCGTCATGGAGGTTGTTTTTTCAACATTTCGTATAAGCTTTATAAATGCAAACCTGTCGAAAAACATTATATTTTTTTTTTTGATGATTTTTTACGAACTGCCATTCATAAAGAGCACATTGGATTACTCAAAATTTCAAATTGCGAAAAGTGAATAATAAAAATAAATGATAAAAAGTTTACATGCGGAAACCCAGGACGAAATAAACGGTGATACGGCGCTCCGTTGCTTTAGCTTTTTAATTACATATGTGACCGATGTATGTTTATCACATTTAAATATACGGTATTACAAACATTTTCATTGTCAACTTTTCAGCGTTACTCTATGTAACTAAATAATGAAAGGTAAAGACAAAATGTATTCTTGGTTTTTTATATGGGAATACTGTTTAATTTATTAGAATGACTGATTTGTTTTTTGTCTTGTTTCAGCAAACGCTGGAAACTGGCGGTGGCGGCGTAACGAACCTCGAGAGCTTAGAGGCCAAGGTAACTAAGATACCATTTTTACTATAAATAAGTTTTAAGCGATTCCTCTAGGTGTAATTTAGAACTTATGCGAGCATTTATATATTACTAATCTATAGATTTTACTATTATTCATAAAGTTAAATACAGAAACACACACCAATATAGCTTTTTCTTAATAAAAAAATATAATAAAATGAAAATGTATTGTCTTGTTTTCTCAAAATAATTACACGGGGCCTTCTTAAATATACGTAAGTAGGCAAAATAAACAAGTACAACTTGAAATATAAATAAGAATGGTGGTAGCAACCAAAATTCATCATCATCGTCATCAGCCCTTTAACGTTCCCACTGCAGGGGCTCAGGCCTTCCTTATGGATGGCTAAGGAGGATGGGCCATAACCCTCCACGCTGGCCCAATGCAATTGGAGGGTATTAACGACTGCAAATGCAGCCGGGACCAACGGCTTAACGTGCCTTCCGAAGCACGGAGTAGCTCGAGATAAATTTTTTTTGGTCACCCATCCCGTGACCGACCCTTGCGAAAGTTGCTTAACGACAACAACCGCGGGCCGTGGCACGTATCCACTACGCCACCGAGCTACAAACCAAAATTGTTCAAGCCAATTTATAACATTCTTTATTGGAAAATTAATGCTACCAGAATTAATTACATACTCTTTTGAATTGTTCATCCTATGTAATTCGTGAGTAGTTTATCTATTTAACAACTACCATTCATTAAAGACTTTGGGAACGTTGTTTGTAGTAAAACCCACGATAGATATAGCTACGAACTACTACTACGACGGGAAAACGTGACGTAATGCTGGCACCAGTATAAATGAGTATAAACGACATCAACGCGTCACGCACAAATAAATATAAAATGTTAGTAAAATTGAAATGCTTATTGTAAAAGACTTGCCGAGTGTGACCTTCTGAGTTATATGGCCAATAAACTATTTTATTTGATTTGATTAATATTTAAGAGTAAATTATAAAATTTTATTTCCTATACATAAATTTTCGTCACTCAGAATTACCAATTAGAATTTTAATGATTTGTTAATTTAATATATACCTTTAAAAGTTTCGATCGTTCCGTCGTCTTGAGGGGCCTTATGTTAATTATTCATTAACCTATAAAAGAAAAAAGAATATTCTTATGCCTAAAGAGGATTCTGCTTTTCAAATTATAAATTTTGAATGAATGCTTTATAAGTGTATGCCAAGTGACCTTCTACGAAATGATTATATTAATAAAATATCTACCTTAAAATGTAAAATGTATACGTAAAATGTTATTTTTAAACAAATTATTTTTTTATTATTTTTCACCTTAAACTACAAAATGCATGGATTGATGCACAGTTAGTGATTGTATTGTTTGTATTAGATTAATATAATATTCTTTTGAATACAATCCAATTAAAGAAAGCAACACTCGTTGGACCACACTACGCTACACTCGTTTTATAGTAATATATCATTTGAATGAAATTGATTTCCCTTTATTGAAACAGTTATCGTTTGATCGTCTTATATCGATAACGCGGTATTGATTGTCGTTATCTGGAGATCGCTGGCGGCGCCTGCGCAGGCGGCCGGCCGGCACGGGCAAGCGTTCACGGCTCGATTCCAATTATTCAATTTGTAACACGCCGCGACTTTGTGTTATCTTCAACCGATAAATAGTGTTTGATAGACGTTGACATTTTAATTTCAAGGTTGCATTTGTTTTGTAGTTATACATTATGAAGATAGAATAAGATCATGTGGAGCAAGAAAGCACACGTTATGTTCAAATGTCTGGAAAATAGAAAAGACAAGAAATAAAAGAAACGTGAGTTTTATTGGTAAATTATAATGTCACTTGAACATGGCGTTATGTGTCCGAAGAGGTAACGAGAAGTGATGTACAAATATAAAATAGACTTGAGATTTAAATGAGCTTTGAAGTCACACGAGTTAATATAACACAGTCATATTTTAAATTGATGGTTAGGTATGATATTATTTGTGGTTATCAGAACTCACTCACTACAAACATTGAATTAGAGCACACTCTTTTCTACGTAGCTACACCGATAATCTCAAATTGATTTAAGACCGATTTAGATTTAGTTAGAAAAATATAACAATGAAATTTAACAAATTGCACTATAAATGTAAAAACGAACCTTATTAAGACCTGCCTGTCTTATATGTCTCTTAATCTAAAACTTAAGAAAATCTAGTGCCCTCTACCTCTTGATTGCATTTTTATTGGAAATTCTTAATGAGTGTATATACCCATGAGGACGATAAAAGTCTATTCATTATACACATCAATGTATCGATTTATGTTCTAATAGGTATCCCTATAAATTACTCATTTTATGTGCTATGGTGGGACGACGAACGTTTACTAAGGAAAATGTTAAACGAACTTTATAACAAAGTTTCCTAAGATCTTGGTAAAAAAATAATTACATTAAGCAAAAGGATTGCGACCTTAAACAGATTATGATGCTTGTAAATACGAATATATATGTCTTCATAACGTGCGTTAATGTATTATTTTAATTTTCTTCTTAATCATTATTTTTATGTTATGTATCGCATTACATCATTAATTTATTTATTATGATTAATGACTGATCCAATGACTCTTCCAGTGCATCTAAGCATTGAATAATGTCAAATCAAATTATAATTGTATTTTATATTCTATATATTTTCTCGCACACAACTCTACTACTCATTTAATATAAACTTTTGATCGGTTTTTAAACGTAAAAAAGTTTTTCATTTTATTAACATTTCGGATCATCGCATCTGAAACGGCTAATAAATATCAAAATCATTATATATATAATTTTGGTCATGACATTCGAAATATCTAATAAATTTTAAACCTTCTAATATTAGTGTGTGTTTTTAGATCACAAAAAACACTATAAGTGAAAGTATTTTGGAAATAAAGCAAGTATGACAGCAGACGGTTGGAACAGTCAAGCTTAGTTTTTAAAATACTTCATGGATTAATTATCTCATATTAGCTTTTTATTTAATTTAAAAACAGAAATACGCGATTGGATTTATTCATCACATAACGATTTGGTTGGATTACACATTCCGACTGGCTCGCAACGTAAATCTAATCTATAAAGAGTAACAAATTGCATCTCCTCGGAAGGGAAAATTGTAGGGTCTTATTACGGAGCATATACTAGATAATAAACAATTTTTAGATTTTGATTAAAAATTTATATTTAATAGAGTTCGTTATTTCGTTAAATTTTGAGATCGTTATAATCCCCACATGAGCAAGGCATTGTCTAGTGTTCAGTGCCTGTGGTCAGTGCTTGTGTTTTTTACTCATTATTTTTTCTATTTTTGTTTAGTTCACAGTCAATTTGAATATAAACTGTGATTTTGACATTATAAAGGTGTCCTTTTTTTCTGAGATACAATATATCGTGTCTCTTATTATCAAGAGTAACCAACCAGTTTCTGCTTTAAGCACTCTAATATGCTAAATGAAAACTCCTCTATCGTACTGTATAACGCGTAAGAATGCTGTAGAGTGGCCATTTTAAATGAGCTAGATAAGTGCCTTTAGCGGTTAAAATAATCGTTACTGATTCATATAGTAAATAGCGAAGCGACTACGTGTCAATTAAGACGCGTTCCTTGTAAAACAATAACGTAACCAGTTGAATTATTAAGTTTGACGACCTCTGTGGCAGATAATATATTTGATAGAGTAAGCAATCAGTAAGTCAAATCTGTGGTTGACTTCTCTAAACAATTATCTTCGATTCCAAGTCTAATACGTAGACATCTAGCCAACATTGTTTCGGGAAATAATAGTTTCAAGTACGTTACTTCTTAATAACGTTATCGTTAGAGCATATACCTTCCCTACGGATAGAAATAAACCGATGAAAATGAAAAGTACTAATGTGATTATTAAAGTAGATATTTAGCAAAAATGACTTTTTTTAACCAAATTCAAAATCAAAAAGGAGGAGGTTAATGTTCAACGGCGATGTATGTTTTTTTATGTATGTTCACCGATATTTCCGCCAATTGTTTGCCCGATTTTCAAAATTCTTTTTTATTCGACAGCTTGATAGATCGAGGACAGAAAATCCTACTGTGAGATTTTGAATGAACTCAAAATACACAATTTTTTGTTATTTAGCTAAAATTGGACCACGTTTAAATTTTATAGAAATTAAATCAGTAGTTTTCGTTTTATAACAAACAAAATACACTTTTCATCAGTATCACCTAAATATTAAAATGATGCCTTATGACACGGCCTATTTCAGATAAAAAGCAAAAGATTGCGTATTGAATTCATTCAAAATCCGAAAGAACGACTTTCTGTGGTCAAAGAGTATATATATTTTTTATGAAAGTAGATATGTTTATCTATTTCTTCTTGAATTGTGAACCAATTTCTATTGGAAAAAAATATGTCGAGCAAATAAACAAAATCTCCTTTTCTAAAACTTACACTATGTTGGATATTTTTATTTATATAGATAACTTATATTTTAATGTTACCTATTATATACAAAATATCAATACCAACTAAAAAGCATGAAATGAAAACTTTTCATAAAAAGTAGAACCAACTTCAAACTTTTAAAAAGTGATAAATAATACTTATTATAAAAGCAACTTATTCAAGAAAATTCTTTCGAAGTTTGACGCCTATCATTTAATTAATAACCTACAGAAGACTTCAGTAGCATTTTCTTGAATGACTCGCTTTTTAGACAAGTATTTTTTCATTTTTTAAAAGTTAGAAGTCAGTTCTATTTAAAAAAAAAAGTTTTTATTATTATATTTGGACAATCCAGCATTCACAATTAAGTTTTTATACATAGTATCTTTGTGTACTTACACCATATTAAGAGAATTATATGAAACCCACTAATGTCATTAGTTACATTTTTGTTTTATATTTGAAGATATACTAAATAAATGAATAGACACATATCATAATGGTAATATGTGTG